TAAACTCCGTAACCAGTAACAGACGAACATACCTTTTGAATAAAATGAACAATTCCGAAGTACAAAACGATTTACCTGACTCAGAAACTCTTTGATCTGATCTGATACTTTTCAATCATTATAAACAAAATTTTAAAATTAGTATTATTAGGCCGATACTTTTCACGATAATTTATGGCTTCTCAAGCTATGCTATTTGGCCAATATTTTTGATAAAATCAATGATATGAATTTATCAATGCAGGGAGTCTGCGTTAATATATGTTTATGTTAAAAAATAAACTTGAGGCCTTTGTTAAAATAATTCTTATATGGAAAAACAGAGTAGAAAATGGATCTTTCGAAATGTTTTCATTTACTGACGAGTATATAATTAGTAACAATATTTCAAAAAAAGATACTCCTATAACAAAAATTATAGATAATCATTTGAAGAATATGGAAGTTTACATGCATAGGTATTTTCCCAATGATATCGATACACAACAATGAATTTGCAATCCATTTTCAATTGAAATGGAAGAAATTAATTTTTTAAACTTAAAAGCACAAGAAGAATTTGCCGAATTAACAAGTGAGACTACCTTGCGACTCAGATTTTCTCAAGTGCCTGTGCATGAATTTCGGATTGAAATCAAATCAGAATATTCAAATAAACAAATTACTACCATTTTGTGCAACATATTTATGTGAATCAGCCTTTAATAAACGTTGAAGATTTATTACGATCTGCACTAACTCAAATTGAGCCTAGATTTAATTATTTGAGTAAAAATAAACGGTCACATACATCACATTAATATTGTTTGATGTTAATAATAAGTTTTCATTAAAAAATGTTACAAAGTATATATATATATATATATATATATATATATATATATATATATATATATATATATATATATATAGTTTTATGTCAACGTTTCCAATTATATATAACATGAATGGGTACATATTCTTCAATCCTTATTTTATTTACATTGTAAAATAGTGCGATAACGGTTAATATATATTTTATTATTTGGAAGAGGGGGTCGTTTAAAATTTCCTAAGCTTGGAAAGGGTCGCTATATAAAAAAGTTTAAGAAGTCCTAGTGTAGTGCATTATCATATCCTGATACCATGGATTATTAAAATTTGCCAATTTACCACTAAGATTAATTAATTGTAAGTACTATTTACTATTTTATTTTTTCTTTTCACTCCAATTCAATTGTTTTAGTTTTAATTTTATTTTTAGTTTCTACTGAATAAAGGCTAGGATTATAGCCGAAACATATGGATTTAAAATAAATTTTTGAAAGAAAATCATGTTTTTTATTGATGTTATGCCCGATTACTAGACTTTGTTAATACATATGTCAACATCAAATTCAGAATCATACAATATATATATATATATATATATATATATATATATATATGTATATAAATATAAATATTTTCTTGCATGTTGATTTTCAGCCAATCGTAGGAATAAATCTTTTATTTTGACGATTGGCTGAAAATCTGTGTTTAAGAATATGTTATATCTATATATTATATATGTATATAAATATATATATATATATATATATATATATTCATAATATTTAACAAATCAATCATTCTTATTTGTTCAGGAATCAAATTGAATATTGGAACGATTTAAACTAGGCGCCATCTCCCCACGTGCTTGACCCGATCACCGACGACGAAGTTCAGGTCTATGCTACGCGCTTCTGTCGCGTCAAATCTCGTCTGAATCCAATATGGCCGGTACCCCCTGTGAGAAATAGTGAATTTCGTGTAATCGTTAGTCATTTCGGGCGAATTATAAGTAATACAGAATCAAAATGAATAACACGTGTCGTAAGTGATGTTCTCTGTAGCTGCAGCTGAATATTTGTGAAAGTTACTGTGACTGGTGGTGTGTTTATTTCGGATTAAATAGTAAAAAATTAATCGGTTTCCCATACGCCCATTGTGGCATTATTTTAACATTCTGATTGCCACATCTGATTTATTGTAAAAATGCAAGCTATAAAGTGTGTCGTCGTGGGAGACGGGTAAGCATTTTTGTTTTTAAATATTTCTGTCAAAGCATTATTGAATAACATTGCCAAATAGTGACAGCGTTTGACGTAAGATTTCAAAATGTCTATTTGACATTTGTCCTGATGAAACTATATACTGTAGTACTTGTTATTAATCTTGTTTTCCTTAATTCTATTATTAAACGGGAATCCAAATGGCAATATTTTGTCAATGCATATTCTTACTCCATGAAATTAATTGAAATTACTAATTTTAAATTTCTAAGCTTGTTTTTTCACAAATAGGAAGCAGTTTTAGAAAACCTGTTGATTTTATTGATGCACCATAGTAATTAAGTGTTTTCAAACTTGAAAATTAATTATATTAAATATCTTTACACATTAATATCATTTGTATATCTGATTGAAAGTCAATTTGATAACAATTTAACAGATACCATGCAATTAAAGCATATCACCTTTTTAATTTTAATGATACTTCAAATTGTTTTGAATATATATATACATTAGACACACACACACATATTTATATATATATATATATATATATATATATATATATGTCTAATACTAAATTTGATGTTGACATATGTATTAACAAAGGCTAATAATCGAGCATACCATCAAAACATAAATTTCATTTAAGAATATATTTTACAATCCATGCAGTTATTATAAAAAAATATAAATAGTATAACAGTGCAATTTGCAATAATCATTAAGCTTATTAAATAATCCATGGTATGAGGATATGGTAATGTACTACACTATGTAATACAAACATTAAATTTGTAATTATAACAATATTCCACAATTCTGCTAACACTAAATTATCACAAAAGAGTAAATGTGCTATATATGTGTTATCTGTAAGTTAGTTGGAGACATAATGTTGAAAGGATTTTTAAAAAAATATTTTTACTGGCATTCAAATACGTGTGGAACTAATTGAGAATTTTTTTCTCATTTTTATTGTTTTGTAAGAAGTTTGGATGTACTATTTAGATGAAAAAAGGAGGTTTGTATCGCACAACATGTTGAGCTCATTCTTTTTATTTATAGTTTTATCGTTATAAATGGATAAGTACGATCCTTCACAAATTTTTCTTAAATATAACTTTTTTTCCAAAATGTAGAACAGTCGGTTTAAAAAATTCTGTATTGTGTTTTAAATTATTATTGTGGTCCGCGAGCATAGTTTTAAACTGTCTAGTATTTTTTAAATTATTTTTGCAATTTAAATTACTACGTCAATGTAAATTAAATTACAATCTAGGCAGTTAATTTGACGGGATTTCTAAGTCATTCAGATATATATATATATATATATATATATATTTGGCACTTTACAGCTCGTAAAATATTCAAAAAAATTGATTAAAATATTCAAAATATTTTATTTATGTATTTTTGCCATAAATTTCTTAACCTTTGTTATATTTTTCTACAATTAATATGTATATTACATTATGTTGTAATTTCATATAACTCTTTACGGTACAGAATTATGACTTTTACGGAATATATATTATCTAATTTTATTTTATCGAGACCACTTCCTGATTCATCATGCGTTTAGTCTGAGTGAAATGTTTAAAGAATGTTCTATATTAATGGTTCGTGTGAATTTCTCAAGAATTTTCGTAATACCACACGTTCATTTTTTATGTTTCTGCAAATCATCGTATAATCTGTTTCATATCATTTGTATTTTGATTGTATCTAAAATGTTTAATGAACAGATGCATACAGCTAAATAAATTAATTAGTCTCTGGGTAATTAAAATGTTCTATTGTTTATTTCAATTAGACCATGCTGAAGGAGAAGAAAGTATATTAAAATTTCTTTTTTCTGTATGTGACATGGTGTTCTCTGCAATGTAAATACATATTATATTGCATTGCTTCTCAAAGTTTGACTTATTCGAAGAACTGGTCGATCGAGGATAATGGTATATTTTTGATGATGTTCTCTATTGCAATATTGTATTTTCCATATGTATTTAGTTACTTTGCCTCATATGAAATAATATACTATATTTTCTACTGTTTATTTTGGAAAGATTAATGGAAAATAATTTTTGATTTTCATCAAAATGTATTCTTACTTCCTTATATTTACATGTATAATATTTAACTGATATAAATTGGTTTTTAGTTTAATACGTGTGTAATATATGCGTATGTTAACAAAGAACATTTTCCAATTTTATGGTAAAAAACTTTTCTTTCATATCTATATAGCACTAATAGCACATCTTTCTTTGTGATTAACGAATATACTTGATATGATATTAATTCGTACGGCAAAAAATTGTTTGATGTGGGCGCCACAATTTAAATAAGTAAAATATTTAACCCTTCTCGTACACCTGGGGTCTACTTGACCCCAACGCTACCTTTAGAGTCAAAAATGGATAGCATGTAAAAATAAACATCTATTTTTGAGCACCAAATATTGCTCTATTTTTTCCGATAAATACTATATCTGCTTGTTATTTTTGCAGAAGCAAAACTTAGTTATGGTTCAAATTCACGAAGTTATGATTAAAAAAAAAAACATACAAGGTCGGTGGTTGCCGAGCATTTCTTTTTAGGGGCACAACTAGTGTGAAATTTCGAAAAAATTGATTTTTGTTTTTTTCATGTTTCGGTAGATTTAAAAATAACATATTAAAATTTCAAATTGATATCTCAAATAGTTTTTGAGTTACAGCCATTTTTTCGTTTTTGCTGCAGTGATTACTCAAAAACGAATGATCCGATCACTATCAAATTTTTTTTGCATGTTCTTTATATAGTACTCCGTGAAACGAACTATCGATTCTTTGATCGGATCAAAAATCGAATTTTGGCAGTCGAAAAACGACCAAAATTTTGGGTAAAAATCGACTTTTTTTTAAAGCGCCGCCATTTTGTCAATTTTTTATTTATTTTGTTATCGTAGATCATTTTACAGACAATATTATCTAGTTTAACGAGAATTTTTATTTTATTTCATCCACGTAGAAGGCCGGAATCACTGCAGCAGTTAAGGGCCTTATTTTGTCGCGCCGTTGGAGATCGACGATAACTTAAAAAATATTTATTTTTTTTCTTCAAAAATTTCACTATGTATTCTTAAAACATGTATAAATATATTCCTAAAATTTTGAAATGATTGATAAAGTAGTTTTTTTAATATAAATTCCTAAAAATCACCTTTTTGGTTACACTAGTTGTGCCCCTTAAATCGAGACAATGGTCTGCCCACGGTGAGCATTTAAACACCGCTAGGGTTTTAAATGCTGAGGTGTGTAAAAGAAGGGTTGAATACATAATACAAAATAAACTTATCTAGATTTCTCTTTAAATTTAAGTCTGGGAAATAATTTTTAGCGATGTGGTTAATTTATCTCCATTGGAGAGGTGACTCGTGATTGTGTTTTGATGATTCATGTCATCAACAGTCCCGTCCTGCTTTTCATTCTGTTGACATACGGCCAATTGTTAACGTAAAAGTTCATTCACAGTCTAATAGGATGATGCATGTAAAACCATGTGCAAATTATAAATCCGCAAGTCGGATTGTGCTTATATTAATTGAATCGGATTGTGCTATTTATACACTCCAATACTAACTGATTAATGAGCCCAGTTTCAGAAAATTTTGATGAGTGTATGCAATTTGTTACGTTTATAACTCTTTTGTAATTATAATTTAAACTAGTGGGGTGTATGGCATCGTGCCTTAAGGCAAATTGCTGGAACTTCCCGTACCGTAACGAAATGTTCGAGGAATTTTAAATGTTTTCAAATAAATTATTATGAAGTAATATTGTAACATTGTCTAATATTTATAAGAATTATATAAACTGAATTGCAAAGTTGAAATTATTTGTTTAAAGTATATTAGAACTATAGTCAGAATTAAAAATTAAATCTTAATTATTTTCAATAAACAAAAAAAAATTTTTTGAAAAAAAAAGTTGAAACAAAATTTTTTTTTCCAAAATCAATTATTTTGTTAAGACAAGCAGAAAGTTCTTTGAATCATTTAAATCGGACGCTTAGTTCTCTCAAAAACTGCCACTTCTCACACATTTAGCTTCGTATCTTCGAAATGGCTGGACCTGCCTTTGCCAAAAACTAATAAACACTTCTCCCAATCATTACTAATTGAATGTTTTTTGGATCATTCAAATCGGATGCTCCGTTCTCTCAAAAACTCGATTTCTATTTTCTGCACTCTCTGCTCTTTATCTCCGTAACTGCTGCACCTGCCTTTGCCAAAAACTAATCAGCTCATCTCCCTATCAATAGGAATCGAATGTTTTTTGAGCCATTCAAATGGGTTGATCCGTGCGCCCGAGAACGTGACTGGAAATTTGTATTTATACATACATACACACACACATCCATTTTTTGTGAGGTATGCCAAAACGTTCAGAAACCTTCAAAAAGTCGAGAAATGTAAAAATTTTCAATTTCGATTTTCGGCCCATTACAATAACTTCTACCCTACGGGAAGTAATAATACACAGTTATAAACAAGTAGACACTTAAGTCAATGACTAAAATCAATCGATGCGTATTCTGAAAAAAATTCAATCATTTGTGCAAATTCGATTTATTGATTTAAGTGAATCATTGTAACTTGAAGAGAAAATTGTTTATGTGGCACACGTGTTGAGATGTTCTTAGAATCGAGTTGAATTAGATATTACAAACGTTCAGAAGGTCAGCGTAGATGATTCCTTAATGACGACAACCGTTCGCAGATCAGGCGGGTATCACACCTAAAATACACATACAGAGACGGGCAAATGTTTCTCAATGCATTCGGGGCATAATTTTTGCTGGAATTACTTCTTGTTTTGTATCCGGTGAATGTTGTGATTCATGTTACAACAAACAACTGACTGCAACTACATTTGAGCTAGATTTTTGTAATTACTTATTAATAATTGTGTGTATTTTATGTAGTATTGTTGTTAATATTATCTTTGGTTATAGAGCAATAAAAAATTCAATTCGCACAAGCTATCTATTGCTCAAAAAAAGTATTTTTATTAACTTTTCACAGGGTAAGTTATAGTAATTGCAAAAAAATGAAAATGAATATTGTTGGATGTCTTTACGTTCGAAAGTTTTTAAATATTTTGGCATATATTTTTAAGTGTAATATGTGTGTATGTATGTTCGGATACAAGTTTTTGTCCACAATTTCATGAGCACGGATCGGCCCATTGGAATGATTAAAAAAATATCAGATTCCTGTTGATCGGAAGACGCGCTGATTAGTTTTTGGCAAAGGCAGGTCCAGTCATTTCAGAGAAATGGGGCAAAGAGAGCAAGAATCGGAAATTAAGTTTTTAAGAGTATGGAGCATCCTATTAGAATTATCCAAAAATTGATTTGTTCGACTTAATTGTAGTCGAGTATCAGTTTTGATATACTGAATGTAGTAATAAAGCATGTTTATGTTGATGAATGAGACCATAAAACTATTAAATATGTAGTATACACATAGACCAGTCGACAGATAAAAAATGATTAAAATATTAATTATTACCATATATCAGCTTTTTATATGCTACTAGCAACCCGGGCGAACTCCGTTTCACCACTACATGGTTTCATTTCATGTAACATTTTGTTTGGTGATTAAAAGATGAAGAAAAAAATTGTCTGCTGTTGAATTTGAATAAAAATTTGCACAATACACCTGATTGATTTGATGGTTTCCAATTGAAATGTTAGGGAACGAATTACTTATTTTTTTACTTTTTTGTACAATTTCACAGTGAACACAATGCCGGTTTGTCACATGAAATTAACTGAGCAAAGAACAATGAGTAGCAGTCAAACAAAACATCTTAGTTTGTAGTACATGCTAAGTATGAGATGACGCTGTATGTGAAAAAAAAAGTGTTTTCCGCTTTTCTGCTGAAATCTTTCTTAAATTTTTTTTTGCTATAAACCTCACGGATTCCGACACTTTCCAACGAATGCAAAATTGTCGAAATCGGTTCGTGCGTTCTGAAGTTATATCGTCAGGAAGGAAAACCCGACTTATTTTTATATAATAGATAATTTTAAACAAAGCTTTCATCGTAGGAATCAAAATAACAGTTATGTAGATCGTGCGTTATTTAAAAATATTTGCATCTCAGTTACACAAATACAAATTGATTTTATATTTATAGATGGACCAAGCATTTATTTCTTTACTACACTTTAATAAATAAATTTAGATTGAGAAACTCTGCTCGGAATTTTTGTATACAAGTAAAGTGCCACTAATTTATGAGTACAACGCCCTACTAGTACAATTAGATACATGAAATGCATAATATATTTTAACGCATGTACATAGATTGATTTAGAATTACATTACTTTGAAAAAAAATCAATATTGGTCACATGTTATATATTAACAACGTGTTATATTTAGAATATTGGTACAAATATGTTCATTCTGTACTCAATTATCACTTTAACGCAAAGAAATTTGAGTTAATACACTGTAGTTTGTTTTTTTTTTTTTTTTTTGCAAATCTCTATAAACGAAGAATCTTTTTATAATGGGCCAGTGTTCAAAGAACTTTGCATATTTGAACACCGGCAATATAATAATTGCATATCATTCTTATGATTTTCCCCAGTAATGCAGTAATAAAAAGAACTTGTGATCATTTTTTATGAATATTTTACCATTATTTTACGTGTATTTTTTAAAAAATATACTAAAAATATTGGTGTATTTTATTTTGTGGCTGTTTATTAAGACAGTAAAGTCAGTCAACAATGTAAGGAATAGTACCAACGCGTGTGGCATTTATATGTCATGTTAATAGATTTATCTCACATATGAGTTCATTACTGCTTCTGTGCATGAGATAGATAAATATTATAGAGTTACAACATTAGATAATTTCAATACCCGTGGGTGTCTGGTTCTGTTTGGCATTGGCGGAAATTGAAAAATCATTACATTAGATCTATTATTGGTTTCAAGTTCAATAGAATCGATAATTGATTCCACATTGAGAATTGATCACTACTTATATTACTAGGTAGTACTACTACGTGGATGTTTTTTTTTAGTGAAAAAGCCTAAAGCAAAAAGTTTTGATATAAATCTAGATATTTCAATTAACACTCAATACTAATTAAGTAGTAAAAAATGCTTTTTGTATTTCACCAGTTTAATCATAAGTTTCCAGAACCAAAACAAAACAATCACATATTTCCTATTCTTTACGCTCAAGGTAAATGTTCGACTTATACTTGTGATAAGTATTTATCCATTGTTTTTTATCTTTATTAAGTTTATAAATAATATTTATAATGAAATATGTATAATAAAAAAAACATTCCGCAGTCTTCAAGATAACAAAGAAAATAAAATATAATCTATACACAGTTTTATCTGCAAATGTGGGATATATTTCTGATATGTTTAATATAAATTACTGCAAGAACTAGACCTGGAAAAATATAATAATAATAGTTTATCTTGTATGACGAACGCGCGTTTGTTATTATATTTATAATAGTTTATATTAATTAATTTATAATAGATTATATTATTCAGCCTCTAGTCGTATATATTTATTTTTTGTATGTTACTCTAATCTATAGCGTTAAATATATATTTTACCATTATACAAATTTAATATTAGAGACGCTATTTGTTGCAATATATCGAAATAATAACTTTTATGATAAAGCTTTCATAAAAGACAAGTTCTTTGGACCACTTTGTTTTACTATATTTGCCAAAGTTCTTTAGTATGGAATCTCTAAAAGAGAGGACTATATTTTAAAAGGTACATCTGTTCAAATTACACAAAAATGTTTATTTGAACACATGAAAGAGGCCACATGAAATATTTCACATGAGTTTAGTATTAGTTAAACAACATAACTTGTATCGAAACAATCTTTACAATAGAGTCTATCAATGTTAATGTTGCAATAAAAAACGTAATAAAAACGATAGAAGAATTAGAAGAATTGAGATAGGAAATTGCCTGAAGGTCTAAAAACTAAAATAAAAAATAAAATAAACTTGGAAAAGCCATCCAGAATGATGTTGCGCCGATAGCTATCATACTAAAAAGGAGATTCTGCTGCAAGTAATGTTTAAGTTACAACATTAGTTAGCAAAACTTTATTACATGTTTTACTCCAATCTATTTGACAATTTTACAGAAAATAAAGACGAGATCTAATTAGTTAACATCATGTACCTAATCCTCAGACGAATCTTCATTACACACTTTATTAAGTAGCTCGTTACTTGCTGGTTCAATTGCGTCATGTTAAAATTAGCACCAGAGATCTCTTATACGGGACAAGGTCTGCTTGTAAAGTTTCAATACACACCTGAATGAAGAATTAACTTTTATAACGTAATTATAGGGATTGATGTCAATATTAACTGTTTATTTCAAGAACGGTGAAGATATCCATAAATTAACCCTTCCGACTCGGATTGCCGCCGCTCCGTCGGCAAAATATAATAAATTCCGGAATTTGCGAGTGGCAAGGGTTTTTTTTTAAACGTAATTGTAAAAAGTAATGGTTGTAAGTTATATTATTTTGAGAGTAGGGTGTTCATCTCTTATTTCCAACTCTGCCATCTTGATATCAAGTAGTAGGGATATCAGTTTGTTCTTGAAAATGCAGATTACCAAGACATTTGCGAGTAGATATAGCCCTTTTCCGGCTAATGCTGTTTTAAATTAACTTTATCATTATCAGAGAGTATTAGAGAAATTCTAATAATAATAAATACATTAAACATGGATAGGCCAACCCTTGGGTTGCTTTCTAATACGCGGCGTTGTAAAAAGGAAAGTTCAACACTACATCAAACTGAGAAGTTTTATTTGCTAAACAATTTTATTGAAAGTAGTATTTGTCTTTTGAAATAATGATCTAAATGTAGTATTATCTTGAGTATAGAGTTTTATCAGTGGTAATCACTGTAGATAAATAGCTTTTAGCATGTGCTAATTCATATCATATCTTATTTATATTATTGATAAAGCATATAAATTGTCATCACGTATTGGCGCATATTAATATGAAATATTTATTTATAAATTCTTGTATATTACGAAACGGTTTTAATGAAACGCAATGATGTCCGGAAAAAGTCTTTTTTCTTGTAGTTTTCAAGTTATGAATGGCAGCTTTTCATTAGATATTGAATAATTCGAATATTTGACAGGTTTTTCGATGATTTTTTTATTTCATTTTCTTTGACAATTGATTCAATACGTTTTAGCTAATATTTTTTTAGTTTCAATTGCTATAAAAATCACTATTCGATACATATAGTATTAAAAATTTTAAAACGAAAATAATTTCAGCAGATAATTATAGATATATATATATATATATATATATATATGTATATATATGTATATATATATGTATATATATATATATATATATATATATATATGTATATATATGTTTGTAATCATAAGAGATGCCAATTCACTAGTACTCGTATAAACGCCTTGTATTCTCTCAACAATGATCACACTAGTCAAAATCCATATCGCGTTTTTGCATTAACAAGAACAGTACAAGTGTATATGATGAATTTTTATATTTTATCTATTTATTGATATTAATAGAAATCTTTTCATCTTTTACAGAGCCGTCGGTAAGACATGTTTGCTGATCAGTTACACAACAAATGCCTTTCCTGGCGAATACATACCCACAGTGTAAGTCTCCACATTAGTAATCATAAATTTAAAAAATCTCATTTTATGAGATTCTTTCAATTATACATATTTCCCGCAAGATCAATAAAATTTACATAAAGAGTGATAATCTCTACCATAAACTAGCTAAAACAACTACTCTATAGCGAATATAGATAGATCCTGACTTTATTATATTAATGCAGTCGAATAACAAATTGTTTGAACACTCTTAATCTTTATAATATTTACAGATTAGATAGATTCTATTTTTTTTATTTCTTTTCTCAGATTTGACAACTACTCTGCCAATGTTATGGTCGATGGTAAACCGATCAATTTGGGATTATGGGATACAGCAGGTCAAGAAGATTACGACCGTCTCAGGCCACTTTCCTACCCTCAGACTGACGTATTCCTGATTTGTTTTTCACTGGTGAATCCAGCATCATTCGAGAACGTACGCGCCAAATGGTATCCAGAAGTGCGGCACCATTGCCCGAACACGCCGATAATACTCGTCGGAACGAAGCTCGATTTGCGCGAAGACAAGGACACTGTCGAAAAGTTAAAGGATAAAAAATTAGCACCTATTACATATCCACAAGTGAGTAAAATTAAAACACTGTCGAAAAATTAAAGGATAAAAAATTAGCACCTATTACATATCTTATATATGAAAGTATATTTTGGTAGCAACAGCAATAGGACATCATAGCTGTTAATAATTACAGATTTATATTCGTAATTATACAGAATCTGATTCAATAATTATAGACATTTCTTCTTGTATATTAGGTAAACTATTACACTTAAACGAAAGGATATGAAAATATTTTTTATTTCACTCAAATTCGAATATATTATCTGTATGCAATTTTATATACAGGTAACCTCCGCACTATATGATACAAGCGAGCTATTGGTGGAATTGGAGAAAAATAAATGGTTATGACATTTTGTAAAATTTTATAATTAGCGAAATTTAATATATAGTTTTGTACATGGAAATTTCTTCATATATATTTAAATATTTCCATACATATTTAATATGGATTCACTTTGACATGGTTTGAGAATTGAGAGCATTCTCCTTACAAAACCGTATTTTTAGAGTACAGCCCTAATAAGATGAGAAATTTAGCAAAACCTATTACAAGCAAATTTTAGCGAATTTATATGTATAGTAGAATCACTGGACAATAGACCAATGAACATAATGAAACTATACTGCAAAAGATAAGTTGTATCATGGTTCTATTGTAAAAAAGCCTCGACTTATCCAAATGTCATATTTACACCCTCTTTCTGTACCAGTCCTTTGTTTCATATGACCAGGTAGTTTTCTTATAACCGATGTTACCCGTATATTTGAAAGTACGTTATACAAGAGACTATGAAATATTTGTAAGGCTGTGATGTGTATAAAATTGAATCCAGGAATGCCTTTCCCATTAAATGTGTGAAGTACCAAATTTTTTTTTTCTGTTCCAGGGCCTGTCGATGGCAAAAGAAATAGGCGCTGTTAAATATCTAGAATGTTCAGCGCTCACGCAGAAAGGACTAAAAACAGTTTTCGATGAAGCGATACGGGCTGTCCTTTGCCCGGTGCTGCCGGTTAAACCGAAAAGAAAATGCGTTTTGCTCTAGGGACGCAGCGGACGAAAATAGGGTAGCACAAGTGCAAAAAATAAATAATTTAGACGGAGATTTACAAAAAAATAACAAAAGGAAGAGCTTACGCTTTCTTTCCCAACGACAGACACAATCGAATATTAATACAAATTACATATGAACATATGGTGTTCAAATCACTCTCCCATTAATATTTTTTTTAAATATAGCCATTACGCACAATAATTTATTTTAATGCCAATTATTGTAGTAAGAAGTATTCACTACTATCATCTTTCAAAGAATTTCAGGCACTTACATAAAACAAAGTAATAAAATCATTTTTATTTACCTAGTTTTGTGCGAAATTAGAAAACAGGAATTTTCTCATTATGGTTTCATATGATCACTAAATAATAATAAGTTGGGTACTTGAATATTGACTGAGAATTTATATATCTAACGATTTTTGACGCGTATTCTTAAATTGAAATATAAATATAAAATGTTGAATAAAATCTTTTGAAAAAATTAAATAAAATTCATGACCACCATGTATATTTGGTAACCATCAAATGCGCACAATATGTCAAACTGCTTTTATTACGCGCGGAAAGTTAATAAAGGGTAAAATAATCTACAATTTACGTAAATTAAGATTCACCGTAGTCTTTTTAATAAAACAACTGAGAAATTAATCAGTAGATAAATTAATCGAACCAACAGGCATAAATATTTTAGCCACGATCAATTGATTTAATAATAATGTTTGTATATTAATATTATGTATTTGTATAGTAAATTTTATAATATTTTTTTTTGCACATAGACATATCTATATTCATCCATATTATTGGTAGCAACGAACGATATAGTTTTATAGTTTGTTATATATTTTTATATTTATATAGTGTTAGAAAAAGCACTTACAATTTTCCAATTATTCTCTTATTGTACCATCCGCCCAATAGAATTTAGAAAATTAATATTATAATTACTGTGACTTCATGTTCAGACATCAATGTTGAATATAACGAATATAAAATATATTTAAGTAAAATATATTAAAAATAAATTCAAAACTTGCTGTACATATTAGATGTTTCAGTGGATAATCATCGGTGAAAATTAGTGCATGTTGTGTTATGTGATTCCATACATAATTGTATCATTGTTGACTGGAAAAATTATATCATCTTTGCTACCAAAATTATATCATAAATGTTTGTCAAAATCCAATTCCATATTTCCATATAATCAATGTATCATTAATAATAAAAAAAATCTGTATTTTTGTTTCAATTTTCAAACATGTGGTGGATAGTATGACTATTTTTTTTTGCTTAATAATATGTTCCTGTATTTAAATGAATTTTCAACAAAAGTTACAGGCAAACATTTAATATAATTATCACTTTTTTATTTTTTTTTTTTTAATATTTGTTTTATACTGACAATGTTATATCCATTAGGACCACTTTGCATAAATTTCGTTTCCTGTTATGTTAATTGATAAATTTATATAATAAATATTTTAAATTGTAAATAGAAAATAGTTACACAAATCTTTGTTTGGAAATTATTTTGTAAATATGCTCTAGTAAAATGTTGTAATTCTTATGTAATATTAATATGGAAGAAATGAAGTTCTTCAATACTTTAGATTATGAAATTATTTTTAGATAACTAAAATATTCCTTTGAAGTATGCTTTATGTAGAATAAATTTTATTAACTGCGTTGTAGCTTAATAATAAAATGTTTAAAAACTAATTATTGACGAGATTTATTTTTATATATTAGATTTTATTTATGATTTGCTTCATTTTTACAATTATGATCTACGGAAAATGTTTATTTAGCAATCATCGATTATATTACAGGGCTTCAATTTGAGAAGCATACCTGAAAGGCGTCATTAACTATATGTACATTCATATACATATATATATATTAACAAAACAAGGAGAACCTCAGGTTAACTCTTCTGGAATTTGATTAAACTTTGCATGGTATAGAGTTGATGGTCACAGTTTGAAATATTATAGTAATAATAATTATAAAAATTATAGTTTTGAAAAATATGCTTCACGCAATATAAATACGCTTACCGTTTTCCATGTGAATATATCTCGGTCTGGTAAGCGTGAATACTTTGTCAGCCTGTTTTATAATTCGAAACTTAATATAACTATTTTTCTAAATTTTCTCTTCAATTATAAAAATAACATACAATTTATTACATTATTTATAAAACATATAGCATTTTTTACATAATTTTCATTTCTAACCAGGAATAATTTAGTCAGATTTATTATACAACAAACCAACAACAATTAACAAAAAAACATCAAATTTGCAACCGATTGAGATAATTTTTGTTTATTCTCGTCTTTATCTTTAAAAATAATTCAAAAGAAACATCTACGTATGCTAAACTTTTATCACACGTCTGTTTAATGCCATTCTAATACAAGGTCAGCATGAATCATAAATATTAAACATATGTTTGATAATAAAATTCAATGTGCTAAAAATTTTGATGTGGCGTCGTTTTAATTTTTTTTTTAAATAAATTTAATACATTTATAGGTATAAAAGAAAGTGAAGACGCACATAAAACGTTGATATTGAAAAAAATCTGATATCACATCGATAAAGATAATTATTTTACGAAATGATATAAATATGAATTTGTTTTTTTGTCCCTCGTTTTTTTCGTATTTGAACCGATCAATATTTCATTTTAACGTGCAATGTACAATGATATTTTTTTTAATATTTGTTATCAGGCAACTCTAATTCTTAGAAGATATGAATTTGATATGGTATTTACATGAAAATGTTTATCAATAGATCAATGCATTGGCCTGCGTGATCAATAAAATATATCAGTAGCGTTTTCTGATTTAGTGAAAATCCACGTTACTTATTTTAGTGAATTTCATTATATACTTATTACCGCTGAGTTATGTAAATCATATTTTTGTCGTTCGAGTAAACAAAACGTTGGTAATTACCAATAATAAAAAATCTTATCTCTATTCAAAAACAAGACGAATACCAACGTTTCGTGTGTGATATTTGTGGACCATTAAATAATCTTAAAAGAATATTTGAAAGAATTTGCACTTGTCATCTACTTGGATGAAATATGATATAACGCTTCAAAACAATTCTTGGAGATAAGTAAATAAAGATTTGCGTTTTAATAAACGCTACTGCGTCAACGTGCTATGTTGTCACAATTGTCAATAACTGTGTATTCAAAATAGAAATACAGTATCCAATGTTATTGTGAGATCACCAGTGTGTGATTCCAGACGTTATTTCGTACGCTATTACTCCATTTAATTTTCTAATTAAATTTTAAATACCCTTTTGTTTTTAATGTGATAATAATAATTATTAATCGAGTGATTAAACATTTATGCATTTATTCGAATATATAATATAATTTTATGATAATTCTAGTTAATGAAAACATTTTAATCAATGTGCAATGGCTACTGTTACCATAAGTCGAGATTTGCCTGATATAGAGGTAATATTATTATTCGATTATACTTTTTATTTTAATATTTATAAGTAAAATGAAAAAGAACTATTTACACCATACCAATATGTTTATATCAGTATATCAGTATGATATAATTTGAAACCTGTCTTAAACCAGTTTATGACATATTATATTTGAACAGGACTAGTTTGTAAAAGTTGACCTATTACAACTTGATATGAATTAATTTATAACAAATTTTATATTTTATTTTTTAGAATTTGTTGTCCTTGAATCCTAAAGTTCACAAGGCATGTTCGTTGGTTCCTTCTTACGTTACCAAAGTCAACAAACATCATTGGAAGCGCAACCAAGATAAATCTAGTCAGGTGGGGTGGATAATAAATAAAATTAATGCTCAATATTTATGCTTAAGCCTGCCTGTTTAAAATGCTTTATTTATTTTAGTCAGGACCTCCGCTAGAAAATGATTTTTCAGACATCAAACATACTACTTTATCGGAACGAGCTGCGCTTAGAGAAGCTGCCAGATGTTTGAAATGTGCTGATGCGCCTTGCCAGAAATCTTGTCCGACACAACTCGATATTAAGAGTTTCATTACTAGTATCGGAAATAAGGTAATATATTAAACAATATAATATATTAAACAATATAATATTTACTTGATTAATGTATTATGTTATCAAAATTTTAATTAGAATTACTATGGGGCGGCGAGAGCAATATTTAGTGACAATCCATGGGTCTCACCTGCGGCATGTTGTTTGCCCTACAAGCGACTTATGCGTGGGCGGATGTAATCTTCAAGCTTCTGAAGAAGGTCCGATCAACATTGGTGGATTGCAGCAATTTGCACCGAGGTAAGCTTGCTTATAAAGCCATTTTAAAAACCACATAATATTTAAAAAAAAACATAATGAATTTTAACATAGTCCCTAATACATGTGCTGGTAAATTTGAAAGGTTTTTAAGAAGATGGGAATAAAGCACGTCGTGATCCAAATCTAGCACCATTAAAATACCCAAATAGGAAGGTGGTTTTAATAGGCGGCGGACCTGCTTCTTGTCCTGCGCTACATTTCTAGCCAGACTTGGATATGATGATGTTACTATATATGAAAAACGAGATTACCTCGGAGGATTGAGGTAAAAGATCAATTTATGATAAATGAATCAATATTGAAATTTAAATATAACTTATAATGTTACTACTGCAATTCTATTTGAATTTTATATTGTTATATTTTATTTCTTCTGAATACCTCAGTTTCGTCTCCCATATGACGTGTTGTAGACTTTGAAATTGAGCTACGTGCGCGATTTGGGCGTAAAATTTGTTACCGGCAGAGAGTTTTCTAAAAAAGACATTACTTGAAGGTAAGTATAAAAAATATAGCTTTTAAATTAACAACTATAACATTTTCTAAAATTTTATCAACAGAGCTGCTAGATTCCGAAGTGTCATCAGTATTTCTAGGTTTTGGCTTGCCTCATCTAGACCTGATCCAATATTTTCAGGGCTCACCGAAGAAATGGGTTTTTATACTTCTAAGGATTTCTTGCCTAAAGTTGCAA